CACCAGTAGGCAACAGGTGAAGTGTCTCGCCCAAGGACACAACAACCGAGACTGTCCAAGCCGGGGCTCGAACCGGCAACCTTCCGATTACAAGGCGAACTCCCAACTCTTGAGCCACGATTGCCCCTATATTATATTTAGTATGATTATGAATTGGACTATTAGTAGCTAGCAGGTGCAGAGCTAACTAGTTAGCTCCTTTGGCTAACTAGTACCAGGTCAGTGCACGGCCTTGTTCCCCGGGATCATATCCATGCACGCTGATTGTCATCTATCACATAATGATTATGAATTCTCTTGCAGCTGCTCTATTTCCATGTTGTTGCAGCATATTAATGACTAACCTGGTATTGTCCATGGATTACCTCAGTTGTTCTCCTGATTGAAGTTTGGTCCGTTTACAGCATCCTGCCATGCGATTGCATTTGTCCCTAACCCTCGGGAACCCTCACATTAACTTTTATGTGTGAAAAAAGGTTAGCATTCATCCTCTAGCTTCACTGTGTTTATGTTATGCTAACATAGCTGTGTCGCTAGCGATCATGTAGCATATCATTTTATACCAGCTAGCCTAGCTTCAGTAACCCTATAAATGTCACTGCTGTTTAGTTTTCTGTCTTCATTTATGTCGAAAGGGACGGCAGAGCTGTACAATTAATTTTTTTCAGAAATCTCTTAGTCATGTATATCATGTTTAGGTGGAACTAGCGAGCTAGAATTTTGTTTTCATGGATGCCTGGATGTTGAACTTAATAGTTACACCTGGTAAAGCATCAACACTGTCGATTTTTGAGAAAATTAAAGGATTTTAAGTGCGGCTTATAGTGCAGGAAAAAAAAGTATGCCGGTTGTAGCCAACGATCCTCCTGCACTTACAGTTCACACTGGCCCAATCCATAAAACACTGTAAAACACATTTATTGATTTGTTGACCGGAATCTGAAAATCTAACCCTAGAAATGAAATGAATCAAAATTCTCTCAATGCCATTTTAACAAATGTCTAGCTGGACATGCCGTCACCTCTCTAGGCACTCACTCACTGTCACCAGACCCTGCACATTTTTACATTTTGACAAGTGTTTCCTGAGCTGCTCCCGCTTGTTATTCTACTCTTTACAGAGTCAGGCATATCCAGCAACATTCAGGAAAGAATTGAGACACATGACCTGCAGGGCAGGAGAGAGATGAGTCAGTCTCTTTGAGCTGACACTAAGTTGACCAGTTCCAGAAATGCTATGGACTTGGATTAAATTCACGCTGCTGACAACTGAGGCTTTGACACTACTGATGAACTACATGACAACTTATTTTCCTTGCTGGGGGAAAAAAAGAAAGCACTGAGCCTTGGATAATAATGTGGTTTTTGATTGACGTCTGGAATTTGAGTTATTATTTCTCAGTCAGAAGCCAGGGTCGAGTGTTGTCCATCAGTGTGGGCTGTACTATACAGTGAATTCAGCCTAGCTATTAAGAATTCAGGCAAGGCCCTGTCAGTGTGGTGAATCAATATATTGTAGCGCTGATATTTTGTATTCACCTCTTATGCTCTTCTATTAATGCATTAGAATTGGTTTTTTGACATGGAAAGATGTTCCAGGTGACTGCACTTAAAGTAATACATTTCGACTACACTGCAACATATGTGTTGTAATGTCTGAAACAGTGTTTAATGAGAGGGAGTTACTGTTTGTGTACTGTTTGCTAGGGTGACATTTTTAGCCACCTGGAGGCTGGCAAAGCAAGAACAGCAGCAACAACAAGGTTGCAGTCGGTTATTGGAGATGTGTTTTTGTTGTCCGTGTGGTATTGGATTTCATAGTAACAACTGTGCTGGAAAGGAAACGTGTGGTTTAAGGCATATGTAATACAACATTTACAGTAGCTGTTTTTTTTCTTTTTTTTATAACCTCTGTTAGTGAATCCTGTGCACATGCTGGTCTGTGGCAAAGGATAGCACATTGTTAATGTTAATGTGCCATATGTGTCTTTTACTTTCTTGTAATCGTATTTTTCTCGTTATATTTCTGTTTTGTTCACATTCCCACTGTAACCACTTAGCAGTTGTCTGCAGTAATGAATCGAATGGCACTGTTGTTTTAATGGGAGCTATATGACAACTTCGCATGGGAAAACGTCGCATGCGAGTCGGTTTGACAATGTTTTTGTAAATCAGGCTCCTATGATGTTCAGTAAGTTCCCTTTAAGTGCAATGGAAAGGCTATTAGTCGCTCACTGAAAATGTCTAATTTTCCAAAAATGTAACAGAAGTCAGTTAAATAGTTTTTAAGAGAGTTGGCCGTGTTTTGCAGAAAAACCCTATATGTCCTCTCTTTTTATTGTTTTTTTTTTGGGGGGGGTGGGGTAAAGGCTACGAATCCACATATTTGGGTAAGACGCAGGAAATGGTTGCAAAGTCACAAAAAAAAAATTCCAAAATTGAATTCTCTATGTCTGGTGGGACGTGATGAGAAATATTACAAATGGTGAAAGCAGAATTCAAAATGAAAACAATGAACAAACAGGGCTGCGTACAACCACATGCAGTGACACATAACGACAGCACAATGCTTAATAACAGAATAAATGATAAACTGAAGATATTCTACGATAACTGGACCATGCACAGCATTCAAAATACAGTAAATAGAGAAATAAATACAGTAAATAAAGAAAATGTATATAAAATGTTGTTTTGACATGATGGTTGTCAGTCCTGCTCCATGCAATAGACTATAATGACCATACACTTGCATTACTCAAAGGTTCTTGAAATTGAAATATGAGCTGATGATGATGGTTCCTACTTCCTTCAAAAGTTTTTAGAGAAAGTTCCTACAAAAGATCAAAAGCACAAACTGTGTACGCTCCATGCTGTATTCTCATACTGTTTCCTCTAACATTAAAGCTCTGGACACAGCAGTCAGCAGCATTGCCATTCAGTGCAGACAGTGGTTACATTCGGCTTTGTAAGTTATCTGAACTGTTTGGCCATCATTAATATGCAAAAGCCATCAGTAAACCTGCGTCTGTGTGTGTATGGCTTTGCTATCTAAGTTCAGAAACTCTGCAGCTTAGTGTTTGTATAAGCTGCAATTTAGCTTGAAATCGGAAGCACTAAATGATCGACTTTAAAGCATTATCACTTCATACTTGTAATATTATGCGTGTACATTTGTACTTGTCGCTTGTACTCAGATGTCTCTTGCAAAAAAAACCTCAGTGAATAAATAAAGCTTATCTGCTTTACTGCCCGACTAACTCGGGGCAGAGCAAAAATGAATCATGGAAGAATAATCAAGATAGCATTGTTGAGACAAGAAAATATGAAGGCATGAAATGTTTCTTATTTGCAGACAGAATCCGAGTTGTGCATAGAGATGAAATTGTCACGGTATTGTTTTGTGCTTTGAACAGACAAATAGCATCTCACCTCGGAGGAAGGGTTCGATATATTGGCCTTTGCCTGCTAGACTAATATCTGGACAATCTCTGAGGTGTTGTTTGCACCAACTCCCCCCAAATCTTGTGGATTATGTTCGGTATGTTTTATTGAGCGTGTGCATACATGTGCTTGTGTGTGTGTTTGTCTGTTTGCGCTGCCTTCTCATGATGAGGGAGAGGAAAAATGTTATCTTGCTGAGGCAATGTTTCTCTAGCCTCAGACAGGCAGAGGATTGGCGGATTAAGGTGCATTGATTTCTCCAACCCCTGGGACACAGATTGAAATGTGAGCCCTAGTTCAGACCTCTGCTTGCCCGCTAGCTACCATCCCACCCATCCCCTGCCTCTTAATACTCAGTTTCCCCACTCCTGTTTTCCTCACAGCCACATTTCGAACAGTAACAAGTGTCTGCTTTGGCCTGATAGCTCAGCATGCTTGCTTCCCCACTGCTCAAAGAAACTCCTCTGATAATACACGTACACAGGCAGATTTTGTTTTTTCTTAATGGCAGCTCAGGATGCAAAGAATATTTTTGCTTTTAATTAATTCAATTATTTATTTATTGGCTGTGGTAATGAGTAATACAGCTGTGTCTGTAATGCAAACACTGCACAAAATTACTTTTTTTCATGCATTGACACTTTAATAGTAAATTGAAGCTCAGATGTATGTTTTTATGTCACGCTCTGTCTTTATCTTGTCTTCAATAGGAGATCACCAGCCTCCTGCCCTTCTCCAAAATCTCCCTGGATGACTTTTCTGACAACAAAGAGATCAGCAATGACCTCAACGCATATATCCAGTATCGTATCAACGGCAGCAAGGACATCATGAACAATATTAGCCTGAACGGCAAAGCCGATCCTATCACAGTCGGCAAGCTAAGTAGCCACCTGATCTCCCGCAGCCAAGGGTCCTACCTGTATCTCAAACTCACCCTGGATCTGTTTGAAAGAGGCCACCTCGTGATCAAAAGTGCCAGTTACAAAGTCGTGCCTGTTTCACTGGCAGAACTGTACCAGTTACAGTGTAACATGAAATTCATGACCAATTCAGCCTTTGAGCGCTCACTGCCGATCCTCAACGTATCGCTCGCCTCGCTGCACCCCCTGACTGACGAGCAGCTGTTCAACGCCATCAACGCGGGGTTCGTCCAGGGGGAGCTACAGTGGGAGGACTTTCAGCAACGCATGGAGCTGCTCTCGTGCTTTCTCATCAAACGGAGGGACAAGACGCGCATGTTTTGTCACCCTTCCTTCAGAGAGTGGCTGGTGTGGAGAGCTGATGGAGAGAGCACGGACTTCCTTTGTGACCCCAGGTCAGTTTTCTGCTAATGCAATAACTTCGCAGCTCTCAATTTGGTTTGCAGGCTTCTGTAATGCATTTAGAGTTTGCGTATGTTTCAGTAATGCATTTAGAAAAGGTTCTTGAATTGCACAAATAGGCATGTAGGACAGTAAGAAAAGTACAACTAATGCTGCAGAATAATATGATAAATGTGTCTTCATGTGAATGAAGTTTTGCATCTCAGAGTGCTTCTGAATTAGTTGTTTTAGGTCTCTGGCAGCTTTAATCATGCCTAAATGTGGTGCCCATCCTGTCGGTTGTCACAAAGTTCTTACCTAAAATGTTTAAAGCAGTGTCCTGCTTATTTCTGGTCCTCAATTTTAATGCAGGAGAGCAGAATTTAACGTGGGATATGTCTGCAGAAGGGGAGAATAGTTGGCTCTGGATGTTTTAGAGGCAGTAATTCAGTGTTTTTCTTCACATATCTGCGCAGAAATCGGTCCATAATAAACACTGCAGACTGCACCAAAGCTTCCATTTGTAAATAAATGCCTTTAGTCAGCAGTTTGCATACGCAGCCCTGCGACATCATAGATCAGATTTCAAGCAGGCTGTTTCACTTCTTTGAGTCGTCTTCTCTTGCATAATGACTCCGTTGCATAACATTTTGAAATGTGAGAATACAGCTGTGGAAGTGAAGCATGTTAGATTAATGCTCGAATCTTGCAACAATGACATTCAGGCTTCACTGAATGTAATTTGAGATTTCGCAGAAACATTAGACTCCCTGAAGTCCTGTTTGTTGGTGTCAGCTTGTTGCATGCCAAAGTCTTTCCTTTGTCTCGGAAAAAATACACACGGCATGCAGAAAAAAAATGAATGTGAAGTGATGTGATGATGTGAGCATTTACAGACACATCACAGCACTAAATTCATTAGCACTGGTTGCGACGTACAGCGCTACACATTCAAAAGGTCATCTCAGAATGCACCTTTTATACAGTGAAGCTGTTTGTAATAAAGCAGCACCTCTGCAGATGAATCCTGTGCTCTTTTGGAGTTGTCGGGATTCATCCGAGTTCAGATGCCTGACTGCAGACTTCCCCCTCATATCAAACACATCGATTCTCCTTCCACTGCCTCTCCCCGGTCTGAATTGTTCACATGTGCTTGTACCGCATTACAATTGTCAAATTTCAAATAACAAGCCGCCCCAGCGTTGTTAGTGGATTACTCGCTCCCTCATCTGCTTGTTTGCAACCCACTAATTTGCGCTGCTGTTGGCAGCTTGCATTGGTCATTGGTAAAATGAACTGCTGCGTCTGTGCTCATGAATTTGTGCTTTGTTAGTAGATCACCCGCATAACTTTTGACCTCCCGATCAGTGCTTTCTTTTTGTTGTCTTGCAGCCTCACACTGATTTGCCCTGTTTTAATAAGTAGTGCTTTTTGTGAGGGAAGGGTGATACTGACCTATGCATTTTGTAGATATTGCATGTTGCAATGCGAGGCAGGCTTGTCTCTTTTAGCAGTACTTGCAGTGCTTGCCTAATTGAAATGCTGGAGCCACACGCAAATGAGAGATTTCAGTCATTCACACTTCATAAATTGAATGATGTCACTTTTTTCCTCCCTGCTGCTCACCTCTGCTCACACGGCGATGCCTTCAAACGGACGAGAGCTGAGCTTCGTATTCTGGTCATTCACAGCCTTCCAGCTCCATCATTAAAAAAAACAAAGGCTTGTAGTCTGGCGCAGGAGATGCACAGAGAGACAAAAGCCTCCTGCACTGCCTCTCTGTTTGTGCCTGGGCACAACTAGAGAGGATTTTTATCCAGATCAAAGTGATTCGCAATCATGCATGCCTTTTTAATGAAGTTCTGCATTAATTAGTGCCTCAGTGACACTCTGCCCCCCTGTTGTTCAGAGGGTCGTTGCCAAACATTTTTAGCTTATTCACGCTAGCTCCAGAATACAATAGTTCTCCATGATAGTGCCAGGCTCCTCGTCATCAGCAGAATGAATCAGTACTTTCATGTCGTTTGAAGCAGAGGAACAATCATTCCTACTGTTGACGACTGAGTATCCTATCTGTTCCCTTGTTTTCTAACCCAGGAGCGGTCACGCTCTCATGGCTTTCATGTTATCGCGCCAAGAGGGGAAACTGAATCGGCAGCAGACAATGGAGCTGGGACACCACATACTCAAAGCACACATCTTCAAGGTATAGATGTGGAACCTACGTGGTCTATGCATTCATCTTTATTTGAAATCCATCCCTTGCAGGAATTTCTTGGTGTTCACTTTCTCTTGATTTATGCACTGTGACAATGGTTCACCAGAGGATAAGCCGTGGGATGTGGAAAGCAATATCGACAGCTTATGGCCCTCAGATTTGCTGGTTTTTACATATGTGTGTTTGTGTATTTACTCATGCATTTATGCATCGGCGTGCGTGCAGGGTCTGAGCAAGAAGACAGGCGTGTCATCCAGTGTCCTTCAGGCTCTGTGGATAAACTGCAGCACTGACGGCCTTTCTGCAGCCCTGGCCTCCCTGAGGAACCTCTACACACCTAATGTCAAGGTAAGCCTTTCTTCAGGTTTGCTCCTGCACGTCTGTTGAATGCAGAACAATCGGCTTATCAGCTAACGATGAAAAAAACACATTATTGATAACCTGAAATGCCTAAATGCAACAGGTTGCTTTTGTAGAAATGCAAAGTAGAAGCTTCTTGAGGGGATATAGGGAACCTTTAAACACTATATATTAAACACACAGTATATGTATCCAATTTTCAGCATTTTCATAACACTTTTGTTACATTGGAGTAATATAATCATATACACTGGTTTGGTCATTTTAAAGCAAATGCATCTCAGAAATAACTGCAACTTTTTTTAGATTTTAGTTACACTTTTAATCCCCGACTGTTGCTCCACGCAGAGAATGTTTTATTATTAACCGCTGTCCTTTTATATTGTTTATGTGTCCAATTATAATTTGACAGGTAAATGTTAATAAACTTCGCGCACGAGCCAACTTCCTGT